CCCCCCCCCCCCAGTGTGGATTGAAAAATTAACATGAATGAAACAGGTGTGTGTTGCAGGTAAAGTTAGATATTAGGACAATCTGTTTAATCTAGCTCATGATGTTTTACCCTGGTGAATATGATTCAACCATATATGATTAATAAAATATATATTGTGCTGGTGTTGTTGTACTCAGGTGAATAATATGTTTGTGATGTTACTCTGAGTGCATATCCACACCGGGCGAGCTTGAAAAATATGCCCAGCCACGGTGGGATTCGAACCTACGACCTTTGGAATACTAGCCCAATGCTCTTCCAACTGAGCTACGTGGTCAGGATGGTTCGAGTAAGTGATATTTCGGAACAGTATCTAGTTCCTTCAATACCAATGTGTTCTTGTAATATGAATTTTTTCTGTGCTGGTGTTGTGTACTATAACATATTATTCACCTGAGTACACAACACCAGCACAGAAAAAAAAAAATCATATTACAAGAACACATTGGTATTGAAGGAACTAGATACTGTTCCGAAATATCACTTACTCGAACCGTCCTGACCGCGTAGCTCAGTTGGAAGAGCATTGGGCTAGTATTTCAAAGGTTGTAGGTTTGAATCCCACCGTGGCCGGGCATATTTTTCAAGCTCGCCCGGTGTGGATATGCACTCAGAGTAACATCACAAACATAAAATATATATTATGTGTTACTACTTTGCAATGCAACATTTGTCCTACCATAACCCTAATCTATGACCCGTCTTCATACAGCGAAATGATTTTGAACACAGGTTTTTTTTAAGAACTTGTCTGGGGGGGTGGGCATCTACAAAAAGGAACCATACTATATTGAGTCTGGAGAGATGACAGATGGTTGTTGGTGACAAAAAGTTTGGTGTGGTATCGTATGTACTAGTAGGGGAGTCTGGGGGTATTCTCCCCCAGAAAATGTTTTGTATTTTTCCACTCCTAGAACTGAAATGTGAGCATTTTCTGAAACAGATTTGTGGATATACAGCGTTACATTGTGCGTTGATAGACCGAATCTTATCAGTTAAGTGTACTTGCATGGTATGTTTATATAAATACCACAACTGGGTCACTCAGGGGGTAGAAAGCTTGTTAAACTTACTTAGTGGGCCTGACTCCCACGATCGCGAGGCGCTATCATGGTTGGCGCCGAGCAGGGAAATCTTGAAAATTTTGAGTCTCTAGATCGTTGGAAATAGCATTTTCAGAGTCTTCTTTTTTGCTATTTGTGATTATAGAAATCAGAACTCTAGACATGGTATTTAAGTTCAAAAACTTTTATGACCCCCCCTTTCTCTGTGTTAAAACTTTTTTGACCCCCCTATTTATAAGGGTAAACGGAAACTTATGTTTTCATGTACCCACTTTTTTCAGGCGACCGGTGCCAGGCAAAAAATTATCAATTGCACGTGCTCGGCAAGTGCCACAAGCAGTTAAAGCGAGTCACCATCCAATGGGAGGCGTGCATCTAGTAACTTGCTGAGCATGTGCACAAGAAAAGTGGGTACACTAGTTATAACTCTGTATATGTATATCTATTAGCTCTGTGGTATGGGTATACACATTACACATGATACAGTAGCTGTCGGCCTCATTTGAACACAAACACGACACGTCAGATAATTTATTAATTCTTGCTTAGGCTTTAGTTTTTAGACAAAGGTTGGGACTTTATATTTTCTATAGAATCAAAACAATTAAGTGCATGGTACTTGAGCTGGGTAGGTTATTACTACATCTCTTTCTACCTTGAGGCATATTTAACTTTGTTTAGAGTTTGAAAGATGTCATGAAAAGTATTGTCCCTGAGAAGCAGAAGGAAGTAGCAGAGTTTAGGAAGCAATGTGCAGATAAAGTCATTGGACAATACAATGTCGATCAGGTACGTGTGTAATACAGGGTTCAAAATAATGTTTAGAAAATATGTGCCTACTTTTGTACTACTGTAGGCTGTTTTGTGTGTTTGTTTTTTTTTCTGACAAATCGTGCTTGGCTGTACATGTATGCAAATAATAAATTGTCTTTTATTTGGAAACTGGCTTGCCATAGATATGCTAGCTTAGTTGACTCATTTGAAGTCTTGAAAAAGACATAATTTCTATAGTGTTGGATGCATATACTTGCATGCATGGTATGTAGTAGACATGTTTGACATAATTATACAAATGGAACTGGGCCATTTAATCTAAAGATTGTCATCACAATTAATTAGTAGAAATTGTGTTCAAAGGCTATTGCTTTTCCTGCAATCTGTTTGGTCAAAATTCAGCGTTGAAAAAGTGAAAGCTACTTGTTGCAAGTGGGGGGCTATCACTTTTTTCAAAATGGCTTCTTTGCAATTTTCTGAATTTAAAACCAATCTTTATTTTCTCCTGCATTTTCACATTGTTTTGGTGTTGTGAAGTGCCAGCAAGAAAATGCTGGATTTTGTACTGGTGCCTTTTCAATTAACAGCATGATTTTATAAATTTTTGTCAACTCAGGTGTTTGTTTTTCTCTTGGAAATTTCAGCTAATTAATACAATGTGGCTCAGTGATCATATAATCTTGTAATATACCACCAAGTCTGAGGCAACTAGTTGTTAATTGGACTGTCACCATGATCACCAACTGGCATATAGCAAATCTGCAATAATCAAGTTCACTTACATTCTATCACCTATACTCGCACTATGCATGTGAATGCTACATTAAGATTAATATATATAGTTTAATTATTGTAAGTTGAAAATACTTTTAATTTTCAGGTATATGGAGGTATGCGTGGAATAATTGGACTGGTTACTGAGACATCATTGTTGGATCCTGAAGAGGTGCATTTGGCTTGTGTTTGTAGCATTAGAGTGAAGCAATAAAATAAGTTACATTGGGTGCATTGCTTGTTATTCATGTTACATTATAATATTATTAAGTTGGGTTAAATTTAGCTGAACCAGGATATAAACTTAACACATTGAATGCCAGCTAGCACTCTTGATGGGTAAAATCGCCAGCATGGTGTTAGACATACTAAAATAACACAGGTAAATAGGTAATATTTCAAAGGCCAAATTATAACAAACTTGCTAGCTGGAAAGTGGGAAATTCACAAGTAAACACAAACATGGTGAACAATAAAGAATATGTGTCTACTCACAAACAGATGTGACAAATATAAACAACAAACTAAGAAATATTCCAATGCATGCATGTGTTAGCTTATAATGTCCATGCAGTATTCAATATTATATAATAACTGCAGTGAAACACGCAATTTGATTGGTCAATAGCCGTGCGGGATCAGGCTATCCTGCACGAGGAATTAAAACGCCTTTGCAGGATCGTGCGAATCTCAAAATATCATTGTTTCACTGTAGTTATTTTATAAAACAATTACCAAATGGTTTTCCAAGCAGGATAGCGTGTTCCATGCACTTGGGCCGATGTTGCTCGACTTTCGGAAAGCGTAAAAATACACTCGCTTGCGGCTCGAGTATTTTTACGCTTTCTCGCGACATCCTTCGTGCATGGATCACGCAATCCTGCACGGAAAACCATTCGATATTCCTTTAATCTAATTTAACTTGCAGGGGCTGGTTGTTCAAAAGTGGGTTAGCGCTAACCCTGGGTTAAAATTTAACCTGCTGTTTTAGTTTATGTATTTCTGCACGTCTGTTTATTTCAAAACTTCAGAGAAGTAAACTCCTACTGATCCAGACAAGATCTCTGAAGAAATATTTCCAAATTTATAGACAAGCTCTCAGGAAGTTTGCTTTGAATTTTAGGTTAACCTAGGGTTAAGCTAACCCAGTTTTGAACAACCGACCCCAGGGAGCGGTTGTTCAAAGGTGGATTAGCACTAACCCAGAGTTACAATTTAACCCGCTGTTTTAGTTTGCATATTTCCGCATGTCCATTTATTTCAAAATGTCAGAAAAGAAAACTCCTATTGATCCAGACATGATTTGTGAAGAAATATTTCCAAATTTAAAAACAAGCTGTTAGGAAGTGTACTTTGAATTTTAAGTTAACCTAGGGTTAAGCTAATCGACTTTTAAAAACCGGCCCCTGGGCTGAAAATAACATTTTATAATACACTGGTCACAGTAGTCATTAGTTGCATTTTTGACTGGTCAAACATGATTTCTGACCCGTCAGCTTTCACATTAGGGCATTCTTTCCTTGATCTTCAAGGAAGCATTCTCGGTGAAATCGTTTTGACAAAATTCAAACACGAAAAGTTTGATATTAAGAAACTTTTTCAGGTACCAGCTAGGTAGTTTGTAGTTACATCGATCCCTAGTTATCAACCAAATTTTTGTTATTTTGAGTGCTAATATCTGGTGTCCTGTGGATATACATAGTTTTTGAAAATAGAGCAAATTTCAAGCCCTAGTTGAATGAAACATAATCAAACGGTTAACAATGTTGTAATATCTTGTTTTGGATTCTATATTTTATCATAGGGTATTCGGTTCAGGGGATACTCAATTCCAGAGTGCCAAAAGGTATGTTATAGAAATTTTGATATGTTTGGAAAACCGTTGTTTCACCTAAAATTAACATTTGGGATGAAAGTTGCATGACTAAAACCCCCTGCAGTTCAAGAAAGTAAAAACAACATTTCAAATGTATGGGTTTAGCGCTCAGCGTGGCCTAATTATATATCCTACAAGAAGCTGATCGAGTATGCCTGAGTGTACAGTATTGGACTGTGCAGAAGTTTTGCGTCATCCCGAAAGCTCTAAATGTCACTAAAGTCCATCTCTCTCTAAAGCATATAACATATATTTCATATTAGTACTGTCCTTTTTGCACCTGATAGCAAGAAAGCGATGTATGTTTAACAGAAAAGTTATTTTTTAAGGTTGTTTTTTTAGAATTGCTAAATAAAATTTTCACGTTCTTTATACGTAAAACACTGGGAGGATAGTCTGGTAATGACGGTCGTTACACAGTTTCTTTGAGAAAAAGTGGATGATTTTGCATGGTGAACTCAATACAAAAGCTGAAACACGTGAATTTAACCAGCTCGAAGATTTCGACAAAAAACGATGTTATTGTCGGGCCGGTTGTACGAATGACCGATAACGATTTTTAGATAGCCATTTTTAATAAAAGAAAACGTCGATTTTTAAACACTGAAGTTTAAACTGCATGGTTACATGCACCGATCAACGGACAATTTTAGGAAAGGTTAAAAAATCCAGTGGATAACGCCATCCAGTTTTCCTACGAAAAGTGTTCAAAACCTAAAATCCCTTCCTGAAAAGTGTTCAAAACCTAAAATCTTTTTGGCGTTCCTCTCAGCCATATAAGCAAAACTTGCTGAACTTCAGGCCTCATTTTCTCTTTGGCGTATCATCTAAAATCTCTTCATTTTAGCATTATTTTACAGATAAAGCACTAAACATACTTTTTAAGTTTGTTTGCCGATTGAGAAACGTATCGAAAAATAGAAATTTTGAATTTAGTCATAACCTCAAGTGGAATATTATACGCATCAGTTTTGAGCGCGTGTTACGTAACATACAAAAAAATCTCCTCTTAACACGAACACTCTTTATAAGATGTTTTTGTGATTCTTCCATATTGGGATTGATTCAACAAATAAAAGACAGGGCTAAATAGAATGTGGAGGCTTATTTTTTTTAGCACTTTTTTGGAGGGGGGTGGGGCTAAATAGCGGAAATACCGCGTTATTTTAGTATTTTGAGGTGACCTGACAATACTGTAAGTGTATCTAAAGTTCCTATAGTACATGTATGTATTGTGTATTTGCCAAATGTGAAGAACTTGTGGTAGCAATAATTGTGCAGTATATTAATGCTAAACAATTTGTTAAAATGTTTCAGCTTTTGCCAACAATTGAAGGTGGTGACCAAATGCTACCTGAGGGCATGTTTTGGTTGTTGATCACTGGAGAAGTACCAACTGCTGAACAGGTAAATCTCTCAGAAAGCTAAATTCATATAAAATAAATTGGTTTAGCAGTACAGTAAATAGTCAGAGTTTTCATTGAAAATCCGGAGAAAGTCTTGGGATCTGAAAAATTCCATTTCTCAAAAGTCGCTGAAAACTAGTGAACGATCTTGAAAGTACTGGAATTTCCTTCCGACTGTGTTGACAATACATGGGCTGTGTTTAAATTATCGATTTTGTGTACTGTACTTGTATACTGGTAAGTAAACTGAAAAATAATTACTATTACTATATATTTCTAATGAATAAAATTACTAAAAGCGTGTAAAACTGTTTTGTTTACAACTATTACGCGAGCCGAAACACAAATTGTCTTAAAATTATTTTCGTTGTTTTTGGTCCCTTTTGTTTTAGTATTTTGTTTTGTCAATATATTTATTACAGGAGTGAATGCAAAATCAACAGTAAAGAATATTTATGTGCATCGATGCTAGCCTCCGTAAGGCACAATTGTTTTGTGCCGTTCTTCGTCACCAGTACATATTTTCTTGCCGATTCTTATTTATCCCAAAGAGATGTCTGTATAGCAAATACCGAACTCCATCAAGCTTGTGATTATGTTCAGTTTCTGTCATTTAATAATGCAATGATTATTACGTTTTAGGCGAAATCATTATCTGACGAGTGGGCTGCTCGCGCTGACCTGCCTCCTCATGTTGTTCAACTTTTGAATGATTTCCCCAGTGAACTTCATCCAATGAGCCAGTTGAGTGCAGCGGTCACTGCCATGAACAGTGAGAGTCATTTTGCTAAAGGGTATAGCAATGGAATAAAGAAAAGTGAATATTGGGAGGTAACAAAGGAATTGCTTCTTGTTCATCAAATATTGTCTTTGTACTTCAGTTTTGTTTGCTAAATTTTGCCATTCAAAGAAAGAATTGTCCTTTAATTCTTGCTTGCATTGCCTACTTTCAAACCGAGAGCGCCTGAATACGAGTCCTTAAATAGTGTATTAACCAACACAAAATATCAAAGTTTGATATTAATTGTGTCAATATTGATCAAGATACAGCCATTCAATACTTTCAAAGAAATGTAAGATTTCTTGTAATTTTTTGTTTTTAAATGGCTGTATCTTGATCAGTATTGAGTCGATTAACTCTTTATTTATGTACTCTTTATTATTAGGGGGGTGTTGTGTTGATTATCACAATATTCAGGGACTCGGCTCTCTCGGTTTGAAATTGAGCAATACTCCATTACCCCCAATAGTTGGGAGAGTGTCTCTCAGTGTATATAGGTAAAAACGGAATGTTGATTGAACAACCTTTGGCCCTAGTTTTCACAAGCGCCGCAAAGACAAGCATACGAAAAGACAAAAACAAAACCAAGAAATGCATTAAAGAACGCGACATAAGTTTCAAAATTACCACAAGATGACGAGGAAAGGGTATTGACCCAAAATTATTGCAAACTTCGCAAGGCTATATTATCCGCATTTTACAACTTTTCGCAACGAAACTTTGGAATGTTACTAATTTTGTGATGCTCCTTTAAGCTGTGATGAAATTTTTGTCTAGATCAAAATGTAGTCTATTACGCAAGTGGTCAATTCAGCTGCAGTAAGGTTATCTATTATAGAATCAGGACGTTTTAATTAAGATTATACTAAATGAGTAATTCAGTGTTGCACATTTGAAGCGATTTGGTGTAGTTTGTCAAGCAATTTGGTGTAGTTTGTAGTATGGTGTGTTTCATTTTAAAAAATGATCCCTCTTAACAATATTTGCCAAGCAAAGTCGAAAGCGCGATCTCGCTAAAGGCTGATTTCCACGGTTGCGTTTATCATGCGTACGTATACGCACGTAAAACTTTAAATCCGTTAAATCCGAAATATCCAAATAAATAAAGCAACAGAATTTAGTGTTACGCAAGTTTTAGTATGCATTTGTTAATTTATTTGTAAAATATTTAAGAAATAGAAGGATTCAAAGTTTTACGTACGTGTACTTGCGTACGAAAAACGCAACAGTGGAAATCAGCCTTATGGAAGGCTGGCCCTACTCATATAAATACCCCCTTAATAAATGTTTCTCCAGAAACTGCTGTAATAATCTGGTCACCTACTTTTATTCACTTAGTATGCATTCGAAGACGCCATGGACTTGATTGCAAAACTGCCAACAGTAGCGGCTGTAATATACCGCAATGTTTATCGAGATGGAAAAGTTGCTCCTATAGACCCACAAAAAGATTGGTCTGGCAATCTTGCCACCATGCTTGGTTTTGATAGTCCAGAGTTTGCAGAAATGTTACGTATGTACTTGGCTATCCATGTTGATCATGAAGGAGGCAATGTGAGCGCTCATTGTACACATCTCGTCGGGAGTGCTCTATCTGATCCGTATCTCTGTTTTGCTGCTGGAATGAATGGTCTGGCTGGTCCTCTACATGGTCTTGCTAATCAGGTATCAACGAATTTAGTTCATTACAACTAATGCTTTTTAAGGCATGGTCAAACTTGGAAACATTGCAGAAACGAATTTGTTTCCCATTAAGCATAAATTTTCCCAACAATTCAAAAACGTTTTGTTTACCAGGTGGGATTTCTGTCGCGATACCTGCGGAAACAATAGAGCCGTTCCTACTTGACTGCCACTACCACCACCATTAAGGGACCGTTAACCAATCAGATGCATTTGATAGATCCGATTAACCAATCAGATGCATTTGATAGATCTGATTAACCAATCAGATGCATTTGATAGATCTGATTAACCAATCAGATGCATTTGATAGATCTAATTAACCAATCAGATGCATTTGATAGATCTGATTAACCAATCAGATGCATTTGATAGATCTGATTAACCAATCAGATGCGTACTAAGCCAGTGAGAGGTAATGGTAGCGGTAGTGGAAGACAAATCTGAACCTCTCTAATGTCTCTTAGTTCGATCTTTATATTTACGACCAACAGGGTGGGCTAATTCGTGTACTTGCGTATCAGAGATTATTTAGAGGGCGGGACAAAGGGCGGTTGTCCGGGCCCCGCGAGTGTCCGCCACTGGTGAAAACTGAACAGTCTAGCTGAACAGTAAAACACCTGGAAACAATGTTCCTAGTTTGCCCACCTCTAGAGAACAACGTTTCCGCAACAATTGTTTGCTAGTTTTCCGGCAGGTTGGTGATGAAATGAAAGTCCTTTCATTTCGTTCCTACTGGCTTTTTGCTTGTTTGACTATCAACATTAAGGCCATATTCCAGTCGCCTGTTTTGATTACGCATGTACAGTATATAGCATACGCACGGGAAGGACTTGAACATCACTCGCCGTATTTATTCCAGTCGCCTGTTTTGATTACGCATGTACAGTATATAGCATACACACGGGAAGGACTTGAACATCGCACGCCGTATTGACATGCTCTTTATTTATTTACACCGTAACTGTTTTACTCTGGCAGGAAGTACTCATTTGGCTGACTAAGCTGGTAGAAAATCTAGGCCAAGATCCAACTACAGAAGAAGTGAAAAATTATTGTGTTGAAACCCTCAAGACCACTGTAAGTAGTTCTACTTGTGTTACATTATTCATCATTCATGATACTTTATTACTTTGGTTAGTAACTCCAGACGAAGGGCTACATCCCTACCAACGAAGCTTGTCTATATTATTGACACTACCTACACTGGCACAGACAATTCAAGATAATATTTTTTGATCACTGTGTTGTATTTCAGGTTATCCCAGGTTTCGGTCACGCTGTTCTTCGTAAAACAGATCCGCGATACACATGTCAGCGAGAGTTCTGTCTCAAGCATATGCCAAATGATTCGTTATTCAAGGTGGTCAGTAAACTTTACGACATCGTGCCCAATGTACTGCTAGAGCAAGGAAAGGCAAAGAATCCCTGGCCCAATGTTGATGCACACAGTGGAGTTCTTTTAACGGTACGTTTTTGTAAAGCTCGGATGAAACGAGAGTGCGTGAGAGTTGGCAGTCACGCCGACCTTTGTTAGTATATCTTGTTGGATTCTTCTGAGCCCAATATGGCAAAATATTAAGTCGAGACTTCAATATTGGGTGAGATCGAAGGTCGAGCCTAATATTGAAGTCGAGACTTAATATTTTGCCATATTGGGCGAAGATGAATCCAATAAGAGTTTATTATATCGAACAAAACAATTCTATAACAAAAAATTGTCAATAAGCGATAAAGTAATACAGCGAGAATAACACAGCGACAACATTAATACATTTATCGGCGGTGAATTTTTAAATGACTAAACAAAAAGTTAATAAACTTGTTTTTATAAATATGTGTATAAATAAACTCAATTGCATGTATGTTTAAAGGAAATTTGACGTAATTTTAACGAAAAAAAATAATATTACTAACCTCGAGGCTGTTGCAAACAAATGAATTTCGCGAAGACAAGTTTTCCCGCGCTTTTATAATTTTAAACAAAACTGGTAGAAAAAACTGTATTAATGTCTCGAATTCTTTTCATTACTCTGCCATATCGCTTGTCGTATGTTTGAAATTGACAAAACATCTGAAAAGGGTTGAAAAACCATGAAAAAAGCCACGATTCACAACTATCCAATAGGTTCCAGTCCAATATCGTAAAATATTGGATCGGCACGTGACCCTCTCAACGACTACTGATTGGTTAAGTGCGCGTGGGTGTATAATAACTGTTCTTAATACTTTCCCAACACTATCATGTATTTTATTTAAGTTAAGACATAGTTGGAACAATCATCAAACCTTTAGTTTGTTAATAGACCTTAATTTCCCCTTTTAAGTGAGATTTTGATCTAGATATGCCTGGACAAAAATTTCATCACAGCTTGAAAGAGCATCACAAAATTAGTAATATTCCGAAGTTTCGTTGCGAAATGTTGTAAAATGCGGATAATATAGCCTTGCGAAGTTTGCCGTTTTTCAGTCATTTTGTATTACAAACAGGAAATTGATAATCAATTTAGTCGTCTGATTATCAATTTCCCGTTTGTAATACAAAATGACTGAAAAACGGCAAACTTCGCAAGGCTATATTATCCGCATTTTACAACATTTTGCAACGACACTTCGGAATATTACAAATTTTGCGATGCTCTTTCAAGCTGTGATGAAATTGTTGTCCAGACTTGTCTAGATCAAAATCTCACTTAAAAGGGGAAAGGTCTATTTGGAGCATGAAATGTCCCCTGGAAGAATGCGTGACTGCCAATTCTCATCCTCTTTGGCTTGACTATATATATATATATATATTAATAATTTCTTTTTGTGAAAAACACCGCGATCTTATTTGCCCGAACTTTATTTGCGCCATAGAAGAAATAATAGATATAGAATGCTGCTCTTATCTTTTTTTCAGTCAAAATTTTGTCTCCACAAAATGGCGGATTTATAAGGGCATTTTGACTCGCCCCAGACTCCTGCGGAAGGTAATTTCGCGCGTTTGCGGCAGTGCGAATTGTGTTTTTTTTTCAACAAAGTTTGTAAAAAGAATTTTATATTGAGACTTAAAATGGAGAAAAGTTTTAATCCATCCCAGTAGGGTTTTTTACGCAAAACAACAGTTCTGAACAGGATATATATAGAAATCGTCGTTTAATTTTTTTAAATAATCTTTTTAAACTTACACAATTACTTTTCATATTTTTTCTACGTTGCTTGAGTCTTGAGGCAACGCTTTTGAAACCACAGTTCATCAACAACAAAATACTTGTTGTTTTAAAAACATGAAAACCCTTCATTTAGTTTGAAGAAAAACGAAATTTTAAGTTACGTGTCACTACGAGAGGAAGTTTACATGAATGGAACATCAGAATTTCGAGATGTCAACAATGTTAATTTGAAGACGAAAGCTAAAAAGAAACCAAGCAAACGACACTCGATACAAAATGCCAGCACAACTTAGTGCTGTGCGCCGGAGTTGCCGGAGCCGGAGTTCTGCCGGAGCTCCGGCGGTTTTTCCGACGCCGGAGCCGGAGCAAAATTTTGTATGCCGGAGCCCGGAGCCGGAGTTACGTTTTCCCAGCTCCGGCAAAATGACAAGAAAACAATATAAAATGAGACAAATGTCAAACTATTGTTAGTTACTACAAACTGCCAATTGCTGTTTTAATGAATTCATCATAGACTCAAACTGCCACAGCCCACAGGAACAGCGTCAAAAAGCTGTAATACGATCGCAACTTACAAACGTCATGCTTTCATGAAGCCATCTGACTTAGCCCTATATAGTCTGTGTATTCATGCCTTGTAGATAACAAAAAAGTACGAAACAAATAAATATCAACCTTTTGAAAATGACGTAGTACTTTGTTTGCATGCGAACAATTGCGCATTTGCGCTAATGCGCTGTGGAGTCTGAGAGTGTTAGCGTCATGCCTCGCGTCATGCTATATAAAAATTGCAACACTGGCTGGTTTCCATATAGATATTTTCTGCGTGGTTAAGTGTTTTCACTGTTTTGTTTCCTGAGTTATGTTATCTGATAATTAGGAAGCACGAAAAGGGTTATTCATAATAATATTTATCATTTATAGACCTGGAGCGAGGGGGATTCGGCGAAATATTACCCGAAGTGATGATATTTCCCGAGGGGCTTTGCCCCGAGGGAAATATCATCACTGAGGGTAATATTTCGCCGAATCCCCCGAGCGGAGGATCTATAAATGATATATTATACCGAAAATTAAAAGCCTCCAAGTTCAAAATTAAAAACTTGACACATGCCTTCGTGAATACGATGTTTTATTTTCGGATTAACGCAAGTACTCGTCGATTTTCTTTCGAATCACATATCGTTTGGAATATTAATGACAACATTTTTCAAAATTTGCTTCAAAATTTTGAAAAAGCCCCAGGTTTTACGTTTAAAATTTGATTATTCATCACTCATCAATACTATTTATATTTTGTCGGCCATGTTTTTGTCATGCGTGTTGTCTCGCGCGGTCTACGCGAATAATGTTCCACCCCATGTTCCCCGGGGAACATGGGGTGGAACATTGTCAAAAGGAACGCAGGCTCGCTAATTGATGACGTAAGGCGTGATATCGCGATTAATTTCATGCTCACGTGGCACAAACTAAGCTTCCTGATTGGACAATTTGAATTTGAGGTATAATATTAATAAATGTTCTCTGATCGTAAAATATTAAAATATTTATTTAATATTTTATGATGTGGCCGGAGCTCAGAGCTATAATTCGGCCGTAGCCGGAGCTGAAAAACCGGAGTTTGCACAGCACTAGCACAACTACGTGTATTTAAACGCGCGGTATCTCATTTCATATTCACTGGATGTGACGCACAAAGAAAGTGGTGACATTGATTGCTACTGGTGAACCTGCCTGTTTACCAAACGGAAAACAGTGACGACCGTTTGACATTTAACTAATTGAGTGGCAGTACCATTGACAAGTAAAGTCGTAATAGATAGTTTAAGCTTCGCGTTAAACGGCAAACGCCAGGCAAAGAAAAATACGGTATCAGGCAATAAAGAGTAAATGAACTTGCTGTTTTAAAACTGAAATACATAATTATTCTTTCGACGCAAGAAAGAAATATGAAACAAAAAGGTTCAACGAAAATTTTGCCAAGAAAGTCCTGCCGTTCCGCGCACATTGCCACTTACAGGGTTAACACTACTATGATGTAGCTTTGCTATTTTCCCTATCACTAGCTATAAAACTATCTTTTAAAATTAATCTAACTAATATTGCCACTAATTTGTAGAACAGTGAGTTTTGTTGTATCCAAACTAATTACATTTTTACTGTTGATTACTATAGCACTTCGGCTTGAAAGAAATGAATTACTACACTGTTTTATTTGGCGTTTCTCGTGCTATCGGCGTGATGGCGTCTCTTGTGTGGGACAGAGCATTCGGTTTACCACTTGAAAGACCCAAAAGTATTACTACGGAAGCTTTAAAAGAAATGGTGAACAAGAAATAGAGAAAATAAACTTTTATACTAGGCCAAAGGATGGTTTTTACTACAGACGTAACACACTGACACACTGTATTAATATAATCTGACTAACAAACATGATCTGACTAACAAACAATTGACTAAATAAATTATACAAAGCAGTATACAATGAACAGAATTGTCACGTGATCCCGTGTCTCTGTCTAGGCTATTTGAAAAGAACGAAGAAGCTTTGTCTCAGAAATAAAATTATTATTGTCAATTGTTTTGTTCTTAAGTTCTTTGTGGTAAAAAAATGGCGATAAAATATAATAGTTTTGTTTGTGGAAACACCACGTAAATTTATTACTGCAAAGCTTTCGATCCGTAAGCCCGGATCTTCATCAGTGCTAAGATCTTCATATTATTAGCACTGATGAAGATCCGGGCTTACGGATCGAAAGCTTTGCAGTAATAAATTTACCTGGTGTTTCCACAAACAAAACTATTATAGTTTGTTCTTATATTTGTAGCTATGCTTTTTTTTTTAATTTTTTTATCCTTGCACCAATTATGAAGTAATTTCCCATGCATATTTGGAACAAAATTCTCGAAAATATTGCAGAAAAATAAAAACTCGTACTTCTCGTTAGCCTTTATTAATGTCCGTTTACACTGGTGCGACATGTACCCTCATCTGAACATTCATAACTTATCCACTCGTTCACATCCATCAGAAATCTAAAATCGCAGCAAGAATTGAAAGTATAAACAGGCCTATTAAGGTAATTCCGCAGTAATTGTTCCCAAAATGAGAATGTGCTGAAAGTTACCAGGCATGGAGTTTATGATATACTTAAAGTAAAATCTTACAAAGAAGTCGGGGTCACCGAACTCGTTAAGAAGATATGATAATCACAATATACCACCTTTACCCCAATATGGCGCCATCTTGACGCTCATTACGAGTAACAGCAAACTCACAACAGCCGATATTTATTTACGTTTTTAGCGCGGATTTCGCTTTAGTAAACCTATCTTGTAATTATTTTTGAAAAAATATTGTGTTTTGAGCAAAATGAAACTACTAACGTGTACAATTCTGATCTATAAATGTCTTTTGCACATTTGTTTACATATCTTCAGTTGGAGAACATGCATTGATAAAGCATTTTTTTTCAAGATCCAGAAATGATTTTTCTTTCAATTTCGGATATGAAATGTAAAATGCATTAAAGAAATAAATTATAAGTTAAAAAACGGGGGTCACCGACATTTTTAGGGAATTGTGCCATTAAAACGTGAAAAACAAGTAAATAAATATACTACAGACACAGGACCCTAGCTACACTTTTGTATGCCTTTTTTGAAAACATTGATTTTAACGTAATTCTTTGCACGAATGTAACCAAAGATGTTTGAAGTAACATAAAATTGTCATAAAATGATATTTTGTTTTAAACGGTACGTATAATGGATGAAATTACAAGTTATAAGATGTGCGCAGTAAAAGTGCGCAATGCAAAACTGCGGAATTACCTAATAAGCAAGTGACGTTTTTGTCAACACGGACGTCAGATTGCCGGGGGGGGGGGATTAACAAGCTGCCTCCTCCGCAGGCCCTCGTTGCGTCATGGGAAGGTCACGTTCTGGCGAGGGCCTGCGGAATCTTGTAAAAAAAATGGCGCCGGCGTCACGTCAGCAAGTAAATTTGTACATAATCTTGAATATAAACAGGATATAAAAAAGCGGCGTGAAACTTGTAAATTAAACTGGCGACTCTTAAGACGTGGAAGGAAGCATTTTTTAACGATAAGGTTTGTTGTCCACACCAACGTTGCACGAATAAAACTGCTTTCTTTAACAAAGCAGGTTCAAAACAACATTTATTCATTTTACAAGATTCCGCAGGCCCTCTCGAAATCGTGACCTTCCCATGATACAACGAGGGCCTGTGGAGGAGGCAGTCATGGGAAGGCCACGATTTCGAGAGGGATCCTCGCTAGACTTGCTCCAAGTCTCTCTTTGTGGAGACCCACTATATTGTACGTTACATGACGTACCGCTGAGGGGGAGAGGAGGAAAGAGAAGAGAGACTTGTAACATCTGGCAGCAGACATACTTCCGGCTGGTCAATTTCGACCAGCCGGAAGTAGATGACCGCATTGACTTATCATGTGTTTAGGGGGGGGAAGGCGACATCTGGACTTATTTGTTTAACATAAGTAATTTTGTATTCACGAGATTTCTTGTAGATTTCACATCACTTTTGACTGCGTGCATTTGGAATTTTGGGCATTATTTTTGCAATTTATTGTAAACAACGATTATAAGAAGAACGGATAAATTACAAATCAGCCGTATTAATCGTCATAAACCTCGATGACCACCAGGTTTTTGTGTTTGACAATTTGTATTTCATTAGATATTTATATGCAAGGTCAGTATAAACGGGTTATCATATAAAATGATCATTCTAATGAATTGATAAAACGAATTATATCTAATATGTACGGCCGCGTTTTTTACACGGCCACTACTGAAGCGTTTAGCTTGATTGTTGAATAAATCGATGACTTGCTTAGTTGCTTTCTGTTTTGAGCTTAACCACCGTTTAAGCTAAACGGGCTTGATACAACTGGCCACAGACTCGGCCCCAGATAAACATTTTTGTATTATCGAGATCGAAACTATAGTAAATTGGAAACCGTGTCAATAATAAAAAACGTACAATGAACTTATGAACATGCGGAAAATTGTCACGCCCAAAATTTATACAAATTTTTTAAATTTTCCGCATGTTCATAAGTTCATTGTACGTTTTTTATTATTGACACGGTTTCCAATTTACTATAGTTTCGATCTCGATAATACAAAAATGTTTATCTGGGGCCGAGTCTGGGGCCAGTTGATCAAGCCCGTTTAGCTTAAACGGTGGTTAAGCTCAAAACAGAAAGCAACTAAGCAAGTCATCGATTTATTCAACAATCAAGCTAAACGTTTCGTTTCGTGTAAAAAACGCGGCCGTACATATTAATTAATAGAAATAATTCGTTTTATCAATTCATTCATTAGAATGATCATTTTATATGATAACCCGTAAACATACTGACCTTGCATATAAATATCTAATGAAATATAAATTGTCAAACACAAAGACACTGGTGGTCATCGAGGTTTATGACGATTACGGCTGATTTGTAATTTATCCGTTCTTCTTATAATCGTTGTTTACAATAAATTGCAAAAATAATGCCCAAAATTCCAAATGCACGCAGTCAAAAGTGATGTGAAATCTACAAGAAATCTCGTGAATACAAAATTACTCGTGCTAAACAAATAACTCTGAAATGTCGCCTTCCCCCCCTAAACACGTGATAAGTCAATGCGGCCATCTACTTCCGGCTGGTCGAAATTGACCAGCCGGAAGTATGTCTGCTTGCCAGATGTTACAAGTCTCTCTTCTCTTTCCTCCTCTCCCCCTCAGCGGTACGTCATGTAACGTACAATATAGATGTACAATATATAGATGTCCACGAAGAGAGACTTGGAGCAAGTCTAATAAATTTGGCACCATAAACTTTTGTCGCCTGTCACAGCGAAGCCAAGAAAATGTTTTGTGTTCTTTTTCTTACATTCTGTGTGAACAGTACTTAATAATTTAAATAAAAATTTAAAAATAAAAAATAAAAATTTTATAAAAATTTAAAAAATATTTTATCTGATTAGTAATCAGCCATTTAGTGTTTTTGCTTGGCAAATAGCCGAATGCTGACCATTATAATCCACCCTGGAGGTAATTAAACAACACTGTAATATTATTCTCATATAATGCATTGTCAACAACACTGTTCACAGGTTGGAAAGCATTACAGAACTGTTTAACAATACTTTAAAAAAGACATTAATAAAGAATCGAGAGTATTATTTCATGGAATTGCTCCACCAAAGTGCTCTTAAATGGGTCAGATGGACAATCAAATGTTACAGTGATTCCTTCATTTGTAACACTAGACAACACATTTGTGCCATAAAATGTACGTGGCCCATGAATATCCGCATATATTGTTACATCATCATTTTGCTTCACCATAATGGGTTTCTCAAACATTACATCAAAACCAGGAATGCCGTTTTGATCAGCTTCAGGTACATACGTTCCACTCACTTTGGCATCTTTGATTTCAAGACTGACTTGATGCTGAAATCCAACATATCTTCCGAACAAACGAACACCAAGCAATAATACCTCTTTATCCACTGAAAAAACGAACTCATCAGTCAGGTAATCATAGCATTCCCTTCCGTTTAGAAAATCGTCAACATTTCCAGAAAATCTGGAAAACCTGAACATATTTCCTGGTTTCCTATTCGGCAACTTCCACTTCAGACCAGGGGAATCAACTCCAACAAGAAATTTCTCGTAAATGGGAACTAACTCAACTGCAGTTAGCAAGCCAGATTTAGCAACATTCTCGACAAACTCTTTATGACTCATGCTAAAAAATCGCAACCTATAGAATGCCTTGCCAATAACAGACCTTCGGTTCTCACTTGTTGGTTCCAAATTCTTGCATGAACATTGAAAATCAATCCATTTTAAAACAGCGTGGAACAGTTCCACTTCTTGTGTATTCAGATTGTCACACATCAGTAATTTAGCCAAGGTCACTTGACTGATGTTTTTGAAACTATCAGAGGCTACCATTTTGCTGGTACTGGACTGTATAACTTTCCAACAATGTCTTTTTAAATCTTCTTCATCAAACCGAGTCACTTGGTCGAGGACGTCCAGCACGTTTTCAGGATTTAAATTTTCCATCAGAAAATTAACGCATTTCTCTTTGAGCGAAGGCACAATGTATTTCTTTGCCAAATACAGAATCGCAAAAACATTGTCTGCGGTCAATGTACAGTCCTCCGTGTAAAGAAATCTCAAAAACTGTTCTAAGCTTTCCTCATTTGTATCAGGCAAGCGAACAATCGATTCTTTCTCGGGCAAGCTTCCATAAAACATCGCATAAAATACGGCGCTACTTGTGGCCAAGACATATTTATGTGCGCAGAATGTCTTGTCTGAAGCGTTGCAGGTGAAGCTTATGTCACTCATATCTGAATTATTAAACATGTGACCGTTTCTTTCTAAGATGGTGTTCGTTGTCGACTGCCAGTCCACAATGCACTGAACGGAGGCCATTTTCAAGAATTATAGATGTAACTATCGTTTATCGAGAACACAAGACTTCGAAATTTCATTGAAAACCAGATGTAATTTAATATACTCACAATTTCACACATCGCAAGATTTGTACTTCATCTTGCATGGATATTTTGGATCCTTGATACATGGTGCACGCGTAAAAATCTCACATTCTCACATCTTGTTTGTAACACGTAAAAATGTACAAGTTGTCACAAGTCTGGAAACCAATTTATTACAAATCTATTCACAAGGTGATATTTGTGGTGTTACTCTGAGTCTATATCCACACCGGGCGAGCTTGAAAAATATGCCCGGCCACGGTGGGATTCGAACCTACGACCTTTGGAATACTAGCCCAGTATTCCAAAGGTGTCGACAAGTTGTATTCGCACTGCTTGTTCCTAGTTGTTGTAACAAGTTTGGAACTTACAAGGTTGTACATGTTCTAACAAGTCTGATACATGCAGTCATGATATAACAAGTCTGATAATAACTGTTAACAAGTTGTTCCATACTTGTTGACAACTTGAGACAAGCAGTGTGAACACAACTTGTTGACGGCTTGTTGGCAGACGCCACAGACTTGCAACAAGTCTGATAATATCAAAAGGTTGTTACTGTTATATCGTGACTGTATTGGACTTGTTGGAACAACCTTGTTGGAACAACAAGTCTGATAACATGAACAAGGTTGTTACAAGTTGCTAACATCTTGCTCCAAACTTGTTGCCAACTTGGGACAAGCTGAAGCAGTGCGAACACAACTTGTTGACGGCGTAAAAATTTCACATCTTTGTTGCAAGGTTGTTCCAACAAGTCCGATACAGTCATGATGTAACAATATTGTTACAACCTTCTGTGTTCAACCTTGTAACATTCTTGTTATATCATAACTGTATCAGACTTGTAAAAACAACCTTATAACAAGTCTGATAATGCCATCAAGCTTGTTACAAGTTGTGAACAGCTTGTTCCAAACTTGTTACAACAACTAGGAACAAGCAGTGCGAACAACTTGTCAACAGCTTGTTAACAAATTTGTAACAACTTGTTTGCAGACTTGTAACAAAAAAAACCCGCACAAGTTGTATAATATAACAAGAATGTTACAAGATTGACCACACAAGGTTGTAACAATAACCTGACTATACCCGACTTGGTGGACAACCTTGCAACAAGTCTGATAATATCAACAAGGTTGTTACAAGTTGTTAACAGCTGGTTCCAAACTTGTTGACAACTTGGGACAAGCAGTGCGAACACAACCTGTTGGCAGACTTGTTACAAGATGCGAGACGTTTACGCGTGTATAGGACCTTCTTATGGCAAAAATGCCTTTGGCATGGACGAAATAGAAAGAAATTACTGAGAAGTGTTATTTGTGAGCTGTTATGTTATTTGTTAAATTAATGTTCCTAATTTGATTGAAGAATTGTTGTTACGTGCAAAGGTGGAAAATTTTTTTTCTTTCCGGGAACTTGTATTGGCCAGCTGCGACCGAGAGCAGGCTATAGCTTCATATACGTCTGAGACAGATAGGCATGCAAGATAAATCCTGAAGAAGTCATAGTAGTTACAGTCTTACAGGATTAAGGACCAAAAAGTATGTGTGACGTAATTATCGAAAGGGTGTATTCCGATGCGCGTGAATGCAAAGTAGTGTTGTCATATAATCAACCGTTTATGGACATGTAAGGGTGAACAAGCGTATACGTAATTCAAAAATCTCCGAGAATTAGTGAATCGGGACAGAAATCAGAGAACGTTATAGACCCATTGCACATGACGTCACAGCGCCGGTGACGATGCATCTGGAGGACAAATTACTGAAATTAGCAATCTATGCATATTTTGTAAACAAATCAAATTTCGTAAAACTTTATAATAATTTTGTATTAAAATGGTTAATTTTTGTGCTGTATGTAGTTGTTGTACCCGAACAGATATTAGGGAGCTTTAGATTTGACTACGAGTACGACTACGAGTACGAGATTCGTCAAGCGAAACACATGCTGTATGCTTACGCTATCCCGTACTGACGCGATAAAGTCGTAGCCGTCGCCCGTCTGAGTACGAAGTTGTGGAGAAATCTCGTTGTCCTCACGACGACTTTTCAAAAAAAAAAGAAAGTTGGCTTTTTTTCGTTTTCCAAAAATAATTTGTGGCATTTATACAGCGTTTATCCGGGCGCAAATAATACATTACTACTAATAGTCTAGGACCTGTATATGAGTTTGTATGCATTTCATTTAGGACAGATAATCTCAACTGTTTTAGGGTAAGTTGACCATGACGGTCAACATGGCTAACGCTGCCCGAACCCCAATCCGGGGCGAAACGTCCGAAACTG